GTGAGTGAGGCAATCGCTAAGCGAGTCAAGATCAAGGACATGGGAAAAGGGGCAGGGGAAGGGGGGCGGCGGTCCTTGGTGTTGAGGTTGTTGAAGGGGGCGGCCGCACGCGCGGGCGCGAGAGAGGCGCCGCGCTCGCCGCTCCTCCTCCTTCTCCTCCTCACCCTGGGGACCCCGCACAACCCTCTGTAGGTCCCTCGCCGACACTCGCATTCCTGAGGCGGGCAGCTTTCTCTGCCTTACTAAGAACCTTAGGCCACTGATGGGCCTGGATTCTTGATAAATATTCTTGACAGTGAGGGGTTGGGACAGAAGGCTTACTGCATATACTGTGCAATTGGCCCTTCTTGGACTGGCCGTAGTGGCCGCAACACATACAGAACCAAAGGTTAAGTCCTGAATGGTAGCGGAGACAATGGCTGTTGTCTACCCACCCCCCAGCCAAGTGCAGACGAGCCCCCTGGGGAAGGGAAAAATAAATTCCTCCGAGCGGTATTAATTCAAAACATGGCGATTGTCTCCACGCTACGACACAAGCTTGCGTGGCAGACCCTCGACAGCGCGTGCACCCTCGGCCGTTCTCTGTCAGCTGATGGCCGCTGGTGAAAACTGAAACTTGCAACGGACCAGGAGGTGCAGGGGCCTTGACGGCCTCTTTCTTTTTCACAACATTTCCAAGAGCTCTCTCGTTTTCGATTGCATCTAAGTTGGCACGAAGCAAGCGATGGCGAACTAAGAAGGCTCGCCTTTCGTGCCGATGGATACGAGCTCTGGTTTGTTCGTCAACGCGCGAACGGGTGGCGGCTATTTCTGCAATAGCGTCAGCTGTGTTATTGCCTACAATCATCCATTCGGGAAAACGTTGATGGAAAACGTCAGCACCAGACAGATGTGAGTTTATAAATAAAACTAAAACCTTCTCTTTACCTCTGAGCTTTACCTCGCGGCCGATTTTAGCCCAGAGGTCCGCCTCTTCTCCTGAAGGCGACTCAAATCGATTCGAATACCAGCCGTCTACCACATTGAAATTATCGGACACGAAAACTATGTACCCAGAACTTACATACAGGGCTAGCCACAGGGCAGTGAGTTCTCCCCTGCCAACAACCTGACGGTGCCCTGAAAGAGGCCCTTCTACAGTAGCTAGTGTCCTAAATTCATCGTTTGCGGCTGGTTCGGCAGCTAAAACCAATCCTACTCCAACTCTTCTGAGACGAGGACAGGCCGACTCAGGGCCCCCGCTAGCGTCCCCGAAAAAATGAAGGGGGTGTTCTTGTGAACCCTGTCCAGCTACACCTTTGGCTAATTCGCTAAAAGTTCCTGAGCAGCGCCAGTCGTCAGACATGACAGGCGGGGGGGCCTCAACCCAAGAGCTAGGTAAAAGGCCCCGCAACCAAAAACACTCGGCCGACTCCCATTGGGAGTAAGCCTCGGGCACAAACTCTTCAGATTTTTCGTAGGCCAGGGACCCTCGGTTTTCGGGGCAGGCCCAAACTCTGTGAAACGGGGTCTCACGTGCTTGGCGGCACCGCTGGCAGAGAGGCGAGCAGACTCCTGGCTTCTGCTGTACTCGCCTGTCTCGCGGCCAGGTGCCGCCTGTGGCGACTGCTGTCATTAGCTCTGCCAATCTGTGGCCGTGCGGAACGTCACGAAGTTGGCGAATGAGGCTGATATACGACGACATGTCTACCCCGTGTTCAGCTCCTCCACCGCAGAAGTGAGAGCTTGCTTTTTCCCACAACATTCTGGATCTATCTTCCTGAAACTCACGCACAAGGTCTCTAGATAAATCAACTCCTTTCTGCTCAATAAAGATGCTCTCTGGAAAGTTCCACTCGATGACGTTGCCATCAGGACCTGCAGGGCGATCCCACGACTCAGCGGATGTGGGCGTCCATCCTGTCTCCAGCAGGTAGCAGATGACCGCGCCCATGGGCCCACGAATGTGTCTAGGCCTCTGGGCTGGGTCCAGCTGCTGGAACTTGGACACCACCTTTGGCCATGCAAGTCTGATGGCCGCTCTGAGGTGCGACGCCTCATGGGCCCACATACGGAACCATAGCTGAAGGCAGTCACTTGCCATCTTGACGCCTGGATCCCCTGTGGGCCAAGGGAGGGAGGGAGGGAGGGAGGAGGAGGAGGAGGAGGAGGAGGAGGAGGAGGAGGAGAAGGAGGAGAAGGAGGAGGAGGAGGAGGAGGAGGAGGGGGGAGGGAGGGGGGAGGGGGCAGGGGAGAGGGGAGGAAGAGGAGGAGGAGGAGGAGGAGGAGGAGGAGGAGGAGGCGGAGGAGGAGGAGGAGGAGGAGGAGGAGGAGGAGGAGGAGGCGGAGGAGGAGGAGGAGGAGGAGGGGGAGGATGGAGGAGGAGGAGGAAGGGGATGAGGAGGAGGAGGAGGAGGCGGAGGAGGAGGCGGAGGAGGAGGAGGGAGGAGGCTGGCTCCGAGTCGCGGCGCGCCGCGCGTGCGCGCCGCTCGGGCGAGGGCGCCGTTGCCCCCTCGCGGGCAGGTGCACCACGAGGCGGAGCAGAAGGAGGCGAGGCTGCGGCAGCTGCGGGAGGCGCGGCCGCCCCCCCCCCTTAGGTCTTAGGTCGGGGGAGGGGGGGATTCCTCGTCGGGTTACAGTCGAGGGCGCTGACCTAAGGAACGATACATAGGGACCGAAGCCCCTCTTTTCCTTCCGTGGAATGTCGATTTTTCCATTCGAACACCGAAGGTCAAACTCATGCAGACAGTCAAGCAACCAAGGTCGGGGGTGGGGGGGATGCTCGTCGTCGGGTTACAGTCAAGTCGGGCCTGTCCCCCTACAGGGGAATTTTCGACGAAAACTAAAACATGCCCAACAAATACCCCAAAAGGGCAAATCAATACGCAAAAAAGAGTCCCCAGTCTATGTTTGGACGATGTTTTGATTATGGTTTTTTTGTCCAAAATCCCCCTGTAGGGGGACAGGCCCGACATAAGGTTACAGTCGGGGCGTTGACCTAAGGAACGATACATAGGTAACGAAGCCCCTCTTTTCCTTCGATGGAATTTCGATGTCCACTCGAACACCGGAGGTCAAACTGATGCAGACAGTCAAACAACCAAGGAATACGGAGCCCTTTCCAAACGAAAAAGGTTATTTCTTCAGCGCCCCGACTGTAGCAGCGCCCCGACTGTAGCTTTAGGTCACGCGTGTCCCTCTGCAGGAGGAGTATACAAAAAGATTCGAGAAATAGTGCGGGGACTTTTTTAGTGTTGTACTTTGTCCATGTTGGAATATTTTGGGGTTATGTTTCGATGCTTCGTCCAACATCCGCCTGTAGGGGGACACGCCCGACCTTTAGCTGGCGACAGGGGTGGACGTCGATGGGGAGGAGGACGAGGAGGGAGGGGGGATGAAGAGGGGAGGGATTCTGCAGATTGGATGGAGGGGGATGGTGAGGGAGGAAGAGGGAGCACAAGGATGGCGGGGGAGGGGTGGAGAGGAGGAGGGATTGGAGGAGAAGAGATGGATCCCGGCGGGTTTCCCAAACGTCGCAGGAACTTGTAGCCTAAATGATGCCACGCAACGGGGCCCGCAAAGTTGTAGTACAAGGCCCTTGGGCGAACCCCATCCGATTTCAGTTCATAGCCTAAGAAGGTCTGAGATGTTTGATGGTTTCGACTTGTCGACGAGGTTAGGCCGAGGCGGTGTGCTGGGGCTCGACGAGGCCGAAGAGGCCCAAGAGGGGACCCCAGATAGGCTAAACGGGCCCAAGAGGAGCCATCATCCAGCGGGATTCAGTTCCGGAAGGGTGTTGGTAGTACGAGTATGGAATTCGAACTCTTCGCGGACGCCATTTGGGAGCCATGTTAGGCTTAAACTGATTGATTCGCTGCAGTGGGCGGCGGAACGGCGGCGCCTCCATGGGGAGACATCGGGGATTTAAGGCTGTACAGTGAGGCGCCTGAATAAGGAGCGCTTGCTTTTGAAAAGGGGCTCGGTCGTTCCTTAGGTTTGCATGCGTTCTGCTACCTTTTTGGCGACGAGCCCACCCGATGTTCCTTAAGATTTTGGACGCGAGGGTTCGTTTTGTCGATCAGGGCGGCTGGTCTTAGGTTTGGGGTTCCAGGAGCGGCTCGGTTCCTTGCGCTTTCTCGACAGAATGCGACGGTGGTCGCGGGAAAGCTTGGCGCCTCTCGCGGGCCCTCCCATTCCTTGCGCGGCGTGCGTAGGACCTTTCGCCTTTATCCGCGTGCCCAGGTAGGGGCATGAAGGTCGAGCTCCTCGCAGGAACACCTCCCGTTCCTTAGGCCACGCGGTTCGGAGCCCGCTGCCTCGTCATAGTGCAATGGTGGTCGCGTGCAGGCCCAGCTCGTCTCTCGGGCCCTCCCTTTCCTTGTGGGGCGCGTGTCGGAGCTTTCACCCTTATCCGACTGCAAAGGTTCAGGAGGGGAAAGAACATACAGACACAATGAATCGTCGATCCCCAGGAAAATATGCGAAAATATGGGAAGTGGGGGGAAGACAAAAACCCAGAAGATATGGGAAAATATGACATCTGTTTATTTGTGTGTAGTTATTTGTGTGTTCTGGGGCGCCTTTAAAGGTAGTGCCCTTAAGGCCCAGCTCCTCGCTGGAGCACCCCCCGCGGGGAAGTCTCGAGGGGTTTGCTTGTTTTGGTGCCCGACATGTTCCCGTTTCTGTTGGAGCAGATGTGGAGCATGTCTCAAGCGAGGCGCTCCTTTTCGCCTCCAAGGGGGAGCCGCCAGGGGCATTGCACTCCTCCATTCGCGCCACAATGGCGGGGATGTCTCGAGCGGTTTGCCTGTGTTGGTGCCCGACATCTTCCGCTGCCGGAGCAGATGTGGAGGACGTTTCGAGCGAGGCGCTCATTTTCGCCTCCAAGGGGGACCCGCCAGAAGGTATCGCACTCGTCCGTTCGCGCCGAAATGGCGGGGATGTCTCGAGCAGTTTGCCTGTTTCGGTGCCCGACATCTTCTTCTTTTGGAGCAGTTTCCGAGGATGTCTCAGGCGAGGCGTTGTTTTCAGTACTCCCAAGGGGGGGCGCCAGAGGGTACATCGCAGGCCCGTTCGCGCCCAGATTGGGGGGATACGTCTCAGGCGGTTTGCCTGTTTGGGTGCCCGAGGTCCTTCTCTTTCGGAGCAGTTTCCGAGGATGTCTCAGGCGAGGCGCTGGTTCTGGCACTTCCGAGCGGGGGCGCCAGGGGGTATATCACGGGCTCGTTCGCGCCCAGATTGGGGTATGTCTCAGGCGGTTTGCCTGTTTGGGTGCCAAATATCTTTCTCTTCCGGATTTCCGAGGACGTCTCAGGCGAAGCGCTGGTTTCAGCATTTCCAGGTGGTCTCAGGCAACGCATGGCCTCCAGCGGCCATGCATTGCAGAAGAGATCGTCGAGCTTTGAGATGCTGTTTCACATAGCTTCGTGTCTTGGCTCCCAGATGTCCGAAAGAGGCCCTGATGAGGCTTCAACAGACTCGCCAGAAGGCTCCAAGGCTACCCAAAATCATTCCAAGATAAATGCAAACATCCGCACCAAACGGCACCCTTCATACACCTTAGCGAAATCAGTGAAGTTTGCCTCTTTTGGGCCCTCTTGGGAGGGCTCTTGGAGGATTCTTGTGACGTCTTCGAGGCCTCTTGGGCTGTTTGGAGACCATCTTGGGTAGTCCTGGAGACATCTTGGGCCGTCTTAGCAGTGCATTCGGCTATCCTGACGCCCTGAGTGGGCTTTTTGGGCCATCAGGGAAACGCCATAGCCGCCCAGGACCCCCCCGGTAACAATATCGATGCACGCACGCACCTTCACGCGGGCCGGATGCTGGGGAGTCTTCTAAAAAGGTTGCAGAACCCTCTCAGACAGCACTTGGCATTCTTCCACCTTCTACGTGCCAAGGCACGGTGGGGGACAAGTGAGTGAGCATCAGTTTGATTGCGCGCACGTTTCTTAGAAAATTGCAGTTTCGGTTGCGCACATATACACACACACACACGCACGCACACACACCATACACACAACACACAGCACGCACAACACGCGCCCACAACACACAGAACACACAACACACGCGTCGCGGGCTTTCCCCGGTGTTTGGGAGTTCCTTCTGGCATTCTCGTCTTCACGGATGGATTCTCCTGACAGGTGCTCTGAGGAAAAGAAGGAGAAATAGGAGGAGGACAACGAGGAGCAGGAAAAAAGGAGGAAATGCCTAGCTAAAGTCGTCGTAGTCGTCGGCGTCTCTCTCGGCTTCGTGTTTCACATGGATCCCCTGACGCTCAGATATTGGAAAGGACAAGATTTTCTACCGAAGCATGCCATCACTATGAGATGCACATTTTTGGATCTTCGCGTCGAGAAATCCGCCTTGCCGGTTTTTCTGTCCGAATTGTATAGCTTTCACCGCGTCGACTGCATCACGTAGCTTGGCTCACGCAGCGTGGATTGGGAGGGTGGGGGGGAGGAGGAGGGCTGGGAGCGGGGGGCAAGAGGGGCCTCTTCTGTGGCCACGCGGGACCAGGGCAGCGCCAGAGTTATGTCGGGCGTGTCCCCCTGTCGACGAAAACTAAGACATACCCAACAAGTACCCCGAAAAGGTCAACACTAATACTTTAAACATAGTCCCTATGTTTGGATTGTTGTTTGACTATTTTGGGGGTATGTTCAATGTTCGTGGAACATCCCCCTGTAGGGGGACAGGCCCGACCTAACGCCAGGGTGAGCGACACGCACCACATTTTTTCCTCCTGCCCCCTATCCTCCCCCGTCCTCTTCTTGCTCCCTCGATGCGCCCGCGGCCCTCTGGAGGTGCCCAGGAGCCCCCCCAGGTCCAGGAACGGGCCAGCGCGTGCAAAAAACACATCGAAGATCTCGACCCTCGAGCCCTCCCCCCCCTCCTCATCCTCCTCCTCCTCCTCCTCCTCCTCCCCCTCCTCCTCCTCCTCCTCCTCCTCCTTCTCCTCCTCTCCTCCTCCTCTCCTCCTCCTCCCCTCTCTCCCTCCCCCTCCCCTTCCTCCTCCTCCTCCTCCTCCTCCTCCTCCTCCTCCTCCTCCTCCTCCTCCTCCCCCTCCCCTCCATCTCCCCCTCCTCCTCCTCCTGCTCCTGCTCCTCTTCCTCCTCCTCCTGCTCCTCCTCCTGCTGCTGCTGCTGCTGATCCTCCAGAGGTCCGAAGAAGGTCGAAGATCATGCAGAGTACTCCGATGCTCGATCGTCGAGCTTCTCTTCTCGACCCCTCGATCCGCGCGCGGGCTCCTCGATCCTCCAGCCTGCCTCCGTGAGCCTCGATCTTCGACCCTCCTCGAACCGTGCCCGATCCTCCTCGATCTTCGATCCTGGATCCTCGATGCTTCGATCTTCGATCCTCCTCCTCTTCGATCCTCCGTGACCCTCGATCCTCCTCGATCTTCGATCCTCCTCGAACCCCCCACCACAGCCAGGGATGCCGCCTCTAGCGAGGACGTCGCCGATGCCTCCCCACGCCAGGGACGAGGGATGTCTCGATTGGGGAGGGTGGGGCCACGCCACCGGGAGGACTCCGCCTGGCGCCTCGCACCGGTTGTGGTGGTGCCGCTTCTC